AGCGAGGCAGCAGCCGCCTCTAACCTTGGCTCCAGACCCAGGCGCGCGCGACCCCCCGGGTAGCAGAGGAATCACCCCGGGGAAGGGATTCACTGACGTCCCTGTACAAAACATCCGGTGCAAACGTTAGGTCACTTTCTCCAGGCCGGTGTCCCATGGCAAGCGACTCCCCGCGGCCGGCCGGCGCCCTCTGTTCCCACCAGCGCCTGGCACCACCTGCCCGCTGACGCTCTGTTCTGCCCTTCACTCAGCTGCTAGCCCGCCTTGCCGCGTGGGTCCCGCGTCCCCCAGCGCTGCCCCACTGCAAGGGGAGGCTGGGGCCCAGCAAGCTGCTGCTTTGGGCCCAGATTTGCAAGCCGCAGGGAGCAGTCGGTCAGTTACTGCTTCCCTCCCTTCCCTGGCAGTGAGGAGCGCAGGGCCAGGAGCAAACTGGGTCACTGGGAAGCCGCACACACTGCAGGAACCCGTGTCATCAATAGAACACTCCCCCCCCTCCCGGGAGCATCTCGCCACATCCAGCTGTCAGCCCCAGAGATCTCCAGGGCAGCTTACTGCTGGGGCCAGCTCAGTTCCCAGGGGTGACCTACAGGACTCCCTGGCGAGGGTCTTGGGCAGTTTCAATGGGAGTTCTGCCCTGCAGAGAATGCCTCCGGCACACGGCGCTGTCTCATTCCTGCAGCTGGGTGTGTGCAGGTCACCTGATCTGGGAGCAGCCCTGCTAAACCCGGAAAAGCTGAAATCTGGCTGGGGGGACACACAAGGAAGGGCTCCAGCACCCCAGGGTTCCCGCTCGAACTGGCGTCGGGGAATACTCAACCTTCACCTTAAAACCCCACTTTCGGACCCCGCGAGGGAGAGGCATCATGCCAAGTGGAAATGCATCTAGCCTGGGAGGACGCAAAGCTCCCAGAAGACAAGCTGAAATGGAGAGATGGATCTTCTGCAGCGGAAGCAGGTTTTGTGACACGCACCCGGCCACAACCACACTCCGAGTCTCTCTCTGTAGCACACGCACCCGGCCACAACCACACTCCGAGTCTCTCTCTGTAGCACACGCACCCGGCCACAACCACACTCCGAGTCTCTCCCTGTAGCACACGCACCCGGCCACAACCACACTCCGAGTCTCTCCCTGTAGCACACGCACCCGGCCACAACCACACTCCGAGTCTCTCCCTGTAGCACACGCACCCGGCCACAACCACACTC